GGTGACTGGAACGTCCGGGGCTGAGCTCCCGCGAATGTGGACGAGCGTGGTGCTGAAATTGCTTTTTTGGAATTGTGGGGTTATTATTTGGGAAATTAGATATATTGTAGGGACTTAATTGCAATTTATTCAAGATTCTTTTATTTCAATTTAACACATGAGGCCAATATGTAATATACTAAAAGTTTAACTAATGCACATTAAAGTTACATAAATTGTACAATATTATGTGAGAATGTACATATTAAAAACGAAAGTCTTGTTTTTTTTTACGAAATCATAGTTTCCCCGATTCCTACACATTCAAAAATTCACAAATATAGTTTTTAATGAAATAAATATACATAAAAATACAATAATAAAAATAATTATATTTTTTATGTAGTTCGGCCGTTCGATTATTTTTGATATTTAAATAAAAAATATAAAAATTATTATCTTTAATATATATATTTATTTATTTTGGTTATCTGAAGAAAAAAATGAAATCATACCAAAATAACCGATATATAAAATAATAATAATAATAATTGACCCAAATATAAAATTTCGTACCAAATTTCTATTCGTTGATCTTGTCCGATTTTGTGCAATTTGATAGGCATTTACGTGCAACCCGTATAACCCAAATGTGCAATCTCAATTCATAAAATATATATATAAGAAAATATTATTAGTTAATAAAAAAAAGGGAATATTTTTCATATTGTTCAACATGTTTGGTTATTTTGTTTATTAAAAAAAATGAAATTTGACCGTTAACCAAATAACATAATTCGATCGATTAGCATAATTACTGCAATTTTGATAGATGTAGCGTGATGTGTTATAAGGTGCAACATGTCGTGTTATAAGGTGCAATGTACTACTGTATAAAGTGCAACATATTGAAATATAAGGTGTAATAATGAAATTTTGATACGATAGCATGCTTATTTTTTTTATTTTTTTTTTTTATGTGATGGATATTGAAATTTATGTAGATACGTTTTATAGATTCATATTGCGTAATATATTTTGGTGGCAGTTGTTGATCTTAATTGGTGATTGAGGTGATCAGGTGCAATGTGATGTTTTATAAAGTGCAACCTGTTGTTTTATAAAGTGCAACATGTTGCAATATAAAGTGCACTAATTTATACATTTCTAGATAAATTATGTGCATTGATGCAACCTGATGTTTTATAAAGTGCAACATTATACAATATGAAGTGCATTAATTAATGCACTCGCTATAAAAAAAATATTGATACAAATATTATTATTTTTCATAATAAAATATAAATAAAAATATATCGGTATTATTTTTCATATAGTTGACATGTTCTGTTATTTTGTTTATTTAAAAAAAAAATAAATTCGATATTTAACCCACTAATATTATTTGATGGATTAGCAAAGTTACTCTAATTCTGATACATGCAACATGTTGTTTTATATTGTGCGACATGTTGTGCTATAAGGTGCAACATATTGATGTATAAAGTGCAATTGATATATATCGCGTAATATTTATATCTCGTAATATTTTGGTGAGAGTCGCTGACATTAATTGTTGAGTTTGGTGATATATTGCAATGTGGTGTTTTATAAGGTGCACTGCGTTGTTTTATAAAGCGTGACATTTCGCTATATAAAGTGCAGTAATTTATACCTTTCCTAGATAAATTATATGTATCAAAAAAACTAGTTTTAATAGATATAATTGTACATCAAATTAGCCTAACTAATTAAAATATATTTTTATTTATTGTTTTAATATATATTTATACAAAAGTATATAAAAATTCATATTTTTAGAAATTATAGATTTGGCCCAATGACTTAATTGAAATATAAAAAAAACTGAAATTGTAAATAGGTCCCTAGAGATTATTAGATTTTCAAAAAAGCCCCCCAAATCTCAAACTCGAGCTTCTCGCCATATCAGCCCTTTCCCTGTCGTCGGTGAACTGCTCATGCATTATCGACCCTCCAAGACATCGCAGGTGATGGATTTTTTCGATTTTTGGTTTCAATTTTTGGTTTCGATTTTTCATGTTATGTCCGACACTGGCGACAATTTTGGAGATTTACTCCGTCAATAGAGGGCTCTGTACACGATGGCAAGTTATTAATCAGTAACCATAGGATGGGTGAAGGAGGGGGACGGCGAGTTATTGACCAAAGGGTTGAGGTGGTTGGCCCAATTCCGGCGTCCGTGAAGAAAAAAAAAAGTCCGATGTGGTAGAAGGAGATGGCGACGTCTGAGAGGTGGACGGCGGCGGAAGAAGGCTGTGTCGGTGGCGGAGGAAGGCGGTGGCGGCCGTAGTTCTAGTTGTTGTGCACCGGAAGTTCTGTATGTGTGTGTGTGTGTGTGTGTGTGTGTGTGTGTGTGTGTTTCTGTGTTTTGACTTTTGTGTGCGTGGAATGGAGAGAGAAAGGGTGCATAGTGTGTGGTGTGTGACGTTGGGGGATCGTGTGACAGCTGGTGTGATTGATGGTTTGGTGAGTGTGGGGTCATGCTTCATTAATTCATGGAATTGGCATAATTGCCTTATTACCCTACAATTGATGTGTTAATTGGATTCCAGCGGATGTATTGTGTCAGTCCAATTTTATTCTAGTGTACCAAATTCATTCATATTTCTTTCACTAGGAACCATTCTCATATTTCTTAGCATTTAATTTTACATATTTAATAAAACCTCTAAAATTTTCCCTCTATTTTCAGGTACAAAATATATCATTCATATTTTTTTTACTTCTCACATTGACACATCCTATTAATTGTAATCGTGTATTTTTCTATTATATTATATAATAGTTATTGCTAATACCAACTAATAATAATTCACAATAAATATAAATTACATAATTATAAATAATTTTTCAAGTTATTTATATTAACATCGATATTATCTTTTTCTTTTGTATCTCATGAAAAAATTTCTTTAAAAACAATTAGTAAATTGTTTTAATAGCATAGTCAAACAAATTTAGGTGCTTATAAACAGTTGTTTTTAATAATAATAATAATAATAATAATAATAATAATAATAATAATAACAACAATAATAATAATAATCAAAATGTTATTATCTAATGATAATAAACAATTATTCATAATAATAAAATCATTAA